CAGAGAAACATGGCACATTGAAATCCTGGGTGCTGGGATATACCTTCCCTTGTGCTGTGTAAGGGTCTGAATGGAGAGAATATCCAGTAATTAATCCTGACTGGGGCTACCCCAGTATTTTCCTCTTTTTCTCAGATGTAGTTCTGGTAAAATTGCTTGTTCTCATTTTGAAGGAGAAATAAGTAACATGACATTGTTTACCCCATCCTAGATTGGTGGGTTTAGTTCTCAGTTTTATAAACAAGGACACTGAAGGACAGTCGCACTGGCATATATAAAGTAAAGGGATGTGATGTGGGAGAAGTCAATTCTGATTATATCCTATAATTGTGCTAATTGAAAGATCTTCAGAGCCTCTGTTTGAAACCCTCATGTTCTGTGTCTTCAGTGAAAAGAGTTGCCTTTCCTCTTAGAAGGCTGCAATGTTAATGTAACAGCAGGAAACCCAGTTTGAGGACTAGGAGCAGGAAAAGAATTCATTTGAACTTATTAGAAATCAGAGGTTTTCAAGTTGGTAAATTTTATGACGTAAACAACTGGCTAATTACACTGTTTAAACACTGGTAATTTGACCAAAACCTTTCTTAAGGGGGAAAATGGTTAATTTAATAGCAGTTTGAACCAGCTTCTAATTAACCAGCTGCTCTAATTATAGGAATTGGCCTAAACTGAATTTGAAAATGTTTCCTCACCAAGGAATTCCAGCAGATGAGAGGCTGAGGCAGGCCGTGTGGCGCTTTCCCCTTAGATGTATCACCATCTCAAAGATCACCTTTTTGAAACCAGTGGGGGTGATTGAGTTTCTGTGTACTTACAGATGGTGGTTGGCATCTGAGTTTTCTCCTTTATTTAGACAGAACGTTTCACTAAATAATGGAGGCATGGGAGAACTATAACCATGAAGTAAACTCGATGGTCTTTGTATGTTTAGGATAGTTTCACGGAGATGGTGATATTTGGGCTGCCCTGGAGGCTGGCTAGGATTTCACTAGTCAGAGAGGTGCAGGCCCAGCCGGGGGACTGCCCAGCATGGCACAGAGGCATGGCAACTGCATGGCTTATACAGAATGGCAAGGGCTATCTTTGTGGCTGAGGAGGAAGCTTTTAAAGGCTCGGAGGAGAAAGAGAATGAGGAGATGAAGTAGTTGGAACTAGATTTAAAATCAAGTTTCTTCAGTGCTTACCTAAGGAGTGCAAACATTTTGAAATATGACAGAGACCTTCCCTGCCTCATTCATTAATGTCTCTGTAGTGCCTGGCACATAGTAAATACTTTTTAAAAATTGTGTACAATGAATAAATTGTTGAATTAATGAAATAGAGTAATGTGTTTAGGTTTGTGTTTTAGAAAGATTAGTTTGTCAGCTCTAGAGGATGGAATGGGGTGAGGAGGTAGATGTAGATACAGTGAGATCAACTTAGCCAAGGCTACTGCTTGAATCTCCTAATCCACCCATGCTCTCTTTCCTCACCCCCTCTTCCAGACATCAACCAAAAGGATCTTTCAAAAACATATCAGTCGTATACTTTCCCTGCTTAAGGCTGTTCATTCAGCTTGAAATCCAAACCCTTTATGAGGCCTAGTGTGGTGTGTTCCCACCCACTATCCTAGTCTCTGCTGTACTGTGTGCCCTTTTCACTTTGCTTTAGCCACACTGACAGCCTTTCTTTTCCTTGAATGTGCCAAGTGGTGTCCCATAATGGGGCCTTTATACATGCTGTTCCCTCTCCCTGGAATATTCATCCTCCTCCTTTTTGCCTAATAAATTCCTAGTCTCAATTTGTTTTATTTATTTATTTTTTTGAATAGATAATACATGTACATCTTCATTTGTAATAAAGATACAAAAGAGTATAAAATAAGCAGTAAGTCTCCCTCTCCTCCTGCTTTCTAACCACTTCTTCTCCCTGTGGATAACCATTATATTCCTCTGAATTCTGGTCTCAGTTCACATGTCATTTTTTTTAGAGAGGCCTTCTCTGATCTTCCAGTATAAAATATATACAATTTTAGTCCTATATATTATATACACAATTGTGATATATATATCACAATTTATACTTTTATATTTATTTTGTGACTTTTCTGTTAATGATTCCCTCCTCCCACTAGACTGTAAGTTCCATTCTACAGCATAAGAACCCAAAGACTCAAAGGGTCAAAGTCTTAGTTTCAGAGAGGCAGAATCGGGATAGTAGCCAAGAAGATACCTCAGTTGTGTCCAGTGTTCCTTTGGACCCTCTGCCAAAAACACCTCATTCCTCCTTGCATGGCAAACTCTTACTCCTCTTTAAAGAATGCATTTGTTACCTTTCCTGGACCTACTCCCCTTACCCTTCCCTACTCTTACCACCTACCCCCACCAAGGCTGGATCATTGTTCCTTCCTCTAGGCACTCACTACCTTGCTCTCATCTCTGTTAAAGTAATTTGTGCACCATAAGGTAGTTATCTGCTTTCCTATCATCCTTCTCCAGTACCCATTGAGTGTCTTCAGGGAAAAGCCATATTCTAGTCGTCTTTGTCCCAGCATCTATACTGTTTTTGGCAAATAGTAAGTAGTAAATGTGATATCTAACGTTTGTCTTGATGAAATAGTGTGGATTGTAAATGCAGGATTGGCTCTGAAACCAGGATTGCTCTTGATGAAACAGTATGGAGTATAAATGCAGGATTGGCTGTGAAGCCAATCTGTGATTGGCCTGGCATAGAGCAGACTTGCTTGGAAGCCCATTTTAGAAAAGAGAAGCGTAAGAAACATTTCATTTCTCCACACTATTTTCTGTTTAACCTCCCCTTAGAATGGTGGCTCTGGGAAGATGAGGGCAGGACCACAGGAACTGGGAGGAAAGGGAGCAGAACCTAGGACTAACACTTCTCCAGAATGTAGACAGTGAGTAAGAGAGATAGACAGAGAAGAGCTGTGGAGGGCTGGTTCTAGTGAAAGAGTAGAGATAAGAAACTGATATCTGAGCTAGGAAAGATCATATCTAGCCAGAATTTATATTCTAGAAATTCAGATGTCATAATAACCCATCTGAGTACAGGCTGTTCAGTGAGAAGGACCTTGGTTTAAATTGCAGTTCTGCCTTTCACTTGCTGGATGACCTTGGCCAATTCACCGTATCTTTTGGGTTACAGTTTCTTTTTTCTTTTTAAGTTAAATTTTTAACTTTAATTCCAGGGTTGCCTTGGTGGCTCAGTCAGTTGAATGTTTGACTTTGGCTCAGGCCATGATCTCACAGTTCATGAGTTCTAGCCCGGCATTGGGCTCACTGTTCTCAGGTGCAGAGCCTGCTTCAGAACCTCTGTCCATCTCCCCCTCCCCTACTTGTGTTTTCTCTCCCAAAAATAAATAATTCCGGTATAGCTACCATACAGTGTTATATTAGTTTTAGGTGTACAATATCATAGTTCAACAATTCCATACATTACCCTGTGCTCATTATAGTAAGTATATTTTCTAATCCCGTTCCCTATTTCACCCCCCATGCACCTCCCCTCTGATAGCCATTAGTTTATTCTCTATAGTTAAAAATCTGTGTCTTATTTTGTCTCTTTTTTCTTTGCTTATTTGTTTTGTTTCTGAAATTCTACATAGAGCAAAATTATATGGTATTTGTCTTCCTCTGACTTATTTCACATAACATTATACTCTCTAGATCCATCCATGTTGTTGCAAACGGCAGGATTTCATTCTTTTTTTTTTTTATGGCTGAATAATATTCCTTAGTAGATATACACCACTTCCATTTGTCTATCGATGGACATTTGGGCTGCTTCCATAATTTGTTATTGTAAATAATGCAGCTTTAAACAGGGATGCATGTATCTCTTTGAACTGGTATTCTTTTTTTGGGGGGGGGTGGCGAGTACCCAGTAGTACTATTATTGGATTGTAGGGTAGTTCTATTTTTAACTTAAAAAATTATTGTATTTTTGAGAGAGTATGTGCAGGAAAGAGGCAAGGTGGGGAGTGGGAGGGAGGGAGAGAGAGAGCGAGAGAGAGAGAGAATCTTAAGGAAGCTCTATGCCTAGTGCAGTGCTTGACGTGGGGCTTGATCTCACGACTGAGCCAAAATCAAGAGTTGGATGCTTAACCAACTGAGCCACCCAGGAGCCCTGTATTTTTAACTTTTTTAGGAGCCTCCATACTGTTTTCCACAGCGGCTGCACCATTTTGCATTCCTACCAACAATGCAAGAGGATTCCTTTTTCTCCATATCCTTGCAACACTTGTTGTTTCTCATTTTTTTGATCTTGGCCATTCTGACAGGTTTTGACTTGCATTTCTCTGATGATGAGTGATGTTGAACGTCTTTTCATTTGTCGAGCTACAGTTTCTTTATTTGTAAACAGGGATAAAAATAATGAGGATTAAAGGGCTTCCTTAAAGGTAGATCCAAGTGGTGCATCTCAGGGCCTACCACTATAATTATGTATATGGAGATCCTAGTTTATACTTGGTAGTAGTATAGACATACACACTGTTCTGTATCTTAGGTTTTTGTTTTTATTGTTATTCAGTTAGCCATGTGTGTTGGAGGTTGTTCTGTATTAGCACAAACAAATCAAATAGATGGTGTGTAAAACTTTGTGGAAATTTGTGATTGTCCTCTTACTTGGTTATATTTGCTGCCCATCTCTTTCTCTGTATGGTCCATATTAGAAAACTTTAAAAGGATTATTGCTTGGTGGGGGACAAGAGAAAACAAGAACACTGTGAGAATGTATTGTGTCCTCCTACCACCACTGGCTGTAGCAGGAGAGAATTTCTCAAGGAAAGATAGGTAGTGGGGATTGGATATAGTCCAGGGCCCAAAGGAGAGAAAAAAGGGGTAAATGGAGAGTCATCCCAGGATCAAAAAATAGCTCTAGTCCTTTAATCAGCAAGTCCCCAAATATTCCCAGTCTTGTGGTGGAGAATTTTTCTCCTCATGTGTGAGCTGTCTGCCCTGGAAGAGTTTTGAAACAAGTTTGTCTTATTTTCTGTCTTTTAGGTGGCATTCTGCTGAGTACCAGTCGGCACTACAAGACAAAGCCTACCCATGGCATTGGAAGATATAAGCACCTAGTTAAAGCCCAGGAGGTAAAGGGAGAAGGGGTCCATTTTAGAAAAGGATAGTGTACAGCTTTTGCAAAGATCTGAAGATCAGACACATACTGGCTGGATAATATTGGAGGTAGAAAGGATGGGGGTGGTCATCCTTTAGTCATCTCCAGTTATATCGTCTCGATATTGTCTATAGTGGTGCTGTTTCTTCCAGCTCTCGATCTTGTCCATACACCAGGTTATCACAGGGAAAGGCAAATGATTTGGTTTAATTACTTGTGATACTTTCACAGAATATCTTCTTGGTACTTATTTCAGTATGGACCTCACATTAAATGATATATGCACTTGACTTGAATGAATGATTTGTGGCAAGTAAAGGCAGATTGACATTTTCAGCCAAATAGTTTTATAGTATTTGCAGATTTAAAATATGTTGATGTTCCTTGAATCCATTATCACAGATAACTGGGAGTTAGTTCCAAGCATTCTAAGATTATTGAGCCCATTTCTCAGGATTCCCATGGCAGCAGGATTGCTTCAGTGGTGGTTACATTTCTGTGGATGTGCAGAGGATTTTGTTGGTGAGCTGGACACAACACCGGCCTGAAAGAAAGTCTGGCTTTGAGTCATGAGTCTAGCAGTTCCTGTAAACAATACAGTTAAGAAGGATTTGCTTTTCTATTCGGGGAGACTTCAACATCACTTTTGGTTCTTTAGTTTATTGTAATGCTCCCATGTCACCGTTAACATCTCCTGTTGCCCCTCTTTCTCCTTGACAGAGGTCCAGTACCACTCTTTGGGCCTCAGAAGCCACTAAACTTGCATGTTCTCCTGAGCATCATCTTTGTAGTAAGGAATTTCAGAGGAACATTGCCACATCTGGTAGCCTCCCAGCAGGAAACAGCTCAACAAAAATTGTTGATTTGTAGTTTGTAGTGGGAATAGGATTTAATTGGGAACCAGGAAGCTTGTGTTCTAGGCTTGGTTATGACACTTATTACACCTCTGGAGAAGTTAACCTTGCCCTCTGGGCATTGTGGGCCCTGAAATTATACGTAAAATGTTTCTGTGTGTGATTTTTTTTCTGGGAAGAGAGTCCATAGCTTTTGTGAGTCTTCATAAGGCTGAGGAACTTGATTAGAATTGTCTTTAAAGGGGGGGTGATGGGCATGGAGGAGGGCACTTGTTGGGATGAGCACTGGGTGTTATCTGGAAACCAACTTGACAATAAACTATTTAAGAAAAAAAAAAAAAAGAATTGTCTTAAGATTCTTTCAGTTCTGAGGGAAGCCTGGGTGGTGTAGTTGGTTAAGCGTCCGACTTTTGATCTTGGCTCAGGTCAGAATCTTGCAGTTCGTGGGTTCAAGCCCCGCATCAGGCTCTGTGCTGATGTTGCAGAACCTGCTTGAGATTCTGTCTCTCTCTCTGCCCGTCCCCAACTTGTGCTCGCTCTCTTTCTCTCAAAGTAAATAAATAAACTTTTAAAAATGTAAAAGGGTCAGCTCTGATATCATATAACTCTGTGATGTTCTGAAACAATTATTGAATGTCTATTATGTGCTAGGCATTGTTGAGGGTGCCTTGCTATTCAGACTCAGTTGTAATAAAATTTTATAGGATGAGTAAGACCTAGTTCAGGATCAGAGGGCTGATAAAACATTAGAGATAACACACACATACTTATGATCCCAAGCAGAAAGTGACAGGTGCTAAAAGGAAGATAGAAAGTGCTATTAAAATTTAAAAGGAGTGATTTACACCCTCTTTGAGTTGTGGCACCTTAGAGTAGTTGTTGGAGTTGTGTTATTTTGGGGTATTCCTCTTCTAAAAGTCCCATGTAAATTAGTAGGAAACAAAGTTCATTTTGTTTGAATGTGTGTTCTTTCTTTTTTTGTTAATTTCTTGGGATTTTTCCTCTAAAAGATAATTTTCTGCATGTGCCATGCTCTGACCTGCTCCCTAGTTTGGTATAAAAGGAAGCTCAATGCCACATTGATGCCATCTGTCCCTGTATTTCTCCCTACTCTCTTCTCCCATCTCAGGAATACCATGCTTTAACTGCATTGGGCCTCTTGCTTTTCATCCACGTCATCATACTATTTCAAGGCTGTTTTATCTACTTGAAGATCTTCCCCCTTTTCAGTTGGTTATAATATATCATCAAACCTTTAAATTCTTGTGAGGGAGCAGGGTGAGGAGGGAAACAATGAATCTCCCCTTCTGAGAAACCTTCCTGGATTCCCTGCACCTGGGTTACTTGTCCTCCCATGAGCTACCAGAATTCCTTGTGCTTCCCCTGTCCTAGGACTTACTGCTCTGTTGTAATGGTCTGTTTGATGACCATCTCTCCTTCTAGAGGGTGAGCTCTCTCCGGGTAGAGGCCATGTTTCATTTTTTTCTGTTTCCTCAGTGTGTAGCAGAGGGCCAGGCATCAAGTAGAGGACAGGAAATATTGATTGGGCCGAACTGAAATGTGGTTATTGGAACTGCCCCGAGGTTTTATAAATCAAAGCTGGCAAACACAACCCACTATTTGCAAACAGCTGGCTCCAGATGACCTTGGTTCCTTGAAGGGACTGATGCTCTCTTTGGTTAGTGCTGTGGGCTTTTTGCCGATGTCATTCATTGTCCCTGGGTATCTAGCCAGATAGCAGTGGTTGCTGCTGCAGGCTCCTTGCTTCCTGCACGGGACAGCACATGAAAGCTCTTGTCTGCCAACTTGCAGAGGATGTGTCCCAGGTCCCTGTCTGTTTTGCCTCCCTGGTGAACTGGACTAGAAAAGCTAGAAGGGATTTTGTGGCCTCCTTTCTTTCCTTAAGCATAGAACCCTAGAAAAAGCAATAAGCATCAGAGTCCCCTTTTTACCCTCTCTGGTACCCAGGCTGGGCCCTCTACTCTCTTGAGCCCCACATCCCTAAGACAAGAGTTAATTCTCATGCCCAAAGTGCCCAGATCTTGTCACATTTCTGCTGGTATAGTCTCACATCCTGTAAGACCCAGCTTGACTGTGACAGTGAGGGATCACATTCAGAGAAAATCTCCGGGCCTAGCACTGTGTCTCAATGTATAGATCTCAGTTATTTCCTCAAGGGCCCTGAATCACTCGGTTGAATTTAAAAGGCTATGGATTGTTTGGAGTGTCTATTTCTATGAAATAGAAATAATAGTCCTTCATATTTGTATAGCACTATGTTGTTTCACCCAAGACCACATACTTGCCCTCAGCTGTTATTACTTGGGAGTAATAATAATCCAAGAATCAGAGAACTGCTAAGAAGAAGATGTGGGAGGATGAAATGGAGGCAACATAAATTGCTGTCAGTTTGTAATAGTTCTGTGTTCTCTTTTCTAGGCCCTGGGGCAAGAGTCATGTGTATCTTTTGTAATGTAGGCAATTTACTTCCTCTTTCTAGAATGGCCCCCTAGGAGTCAAGATGTCTTTTCTCTTGGAAACTGTTTGCACTGTTGACATACAGGAGATGTCTGTCATTTATGACACCTATTTAGTTTGTTGTAACACCCATAGAGAGATTAACTCCCAGAGCCACAAGGCTGTGAGGAAACTGTGGCATCATTCCCAGAAAAATCAGTAGATCAGAATCACTTGATGGTGACAATCCTAGCTTCCTGGGAACAACAAGATTGGTTTTGCCAGTGCAATAACCGTAGGGCTAGACTTGGATTATAGGACTGGCCTAAGGAAGAGTTGTTTTAAATTAGCATCTATGTTTTTCCTCAAGTCCGCCTCTTGTAGCTCATTGAAGGTAAAACCATCATTGAGCATCTACTATATGCCAGGCACTGTGTGAGTCCAAATGACACTTGGGTGAATGGGACACAAGTCGCTTCCTACCCAAAGCATACAGTGAGCTAGGAAAGATAGTGCTCAAAAATGTAACTAACTGACTGTACATGGTAAATACTTTACTAGCAGAATGAACTATCAAGAGAATACATTAAGGAAGCAATTCTCCCTGAAAGGCTCAGTGAAGATGTTATGGAAGTCAGCTCTATAAACGTTTACTAAGTACCACCTGCATCATATACTGAGTGTGTAAAGTGAACCGACCCTAGGAATAACAGCTGCTTGGGATACACTGGGAAACACTGGGGCTGTAAAGAACATGATAGAGTTCCCCAGAACTTTTCCATATACAGAGAGTGATTATTATGATGACCTGACTCTTAGCCTGTGCCATTAGAGTGCCCTGGACTCCAGCCCACCACCAGTCTCATTCTGTCTTACCTGTTCTGCTGAATTATAATAATGTCAGAGTTTTAGTGGGTGATATATTTGATATGAATAATAGTAATGATCCCTTTCCATTGTCGAAGTGCTTTCACATGCATTATCTCAGTGCCTCTCAAGCCATATGCTTTTGGAACACTAGTGATCCTAGAGCCAAACCTCTCCTCGAGTTTACTAATGGCAGTCTTCCACATTTTAGGAAGATATTATGTTAAGGGAGATTCTTTTCTAAATTTCAGGTTTTTTAAAAAAATGTTTTATTTATTCTGAGAGAGAGACAGCATGAGCAGGAGAGGGTCAGACAGAGAGGGAGATACAGAATCCAAAACAGGCTCCAGGCTCTGAGCTAGCCATCAGCACAGAGCCCGACGCAGGGCTCAAACCCACGAGGCTCGAACCCACGAACCATGAGATCATAACCTGAGCCGAAGTCGGATGCTCAACCAACTGAGCCACCCAGATGCCCCTAAATTTCAAGTTTTCCTCCCATCAGTTTTACTTGATGAAAACAAATATTAACAGAGAAACTCATATATGTTTTCTTTTTTTCCGTATCTTTGAGATACAGAGAACTCCATTTATATAATATAACCATATTTTCTGCTAGTAAAGTCATTCTTTGATTGACTTGATTCTATGATCAACGTATCTTAATGAGCATTTTATGGTGTTTCACAAAGAGAAACATGACTTTGTTAGGCTCTTTGCAACCAACAAATTTGAAAACCATGCCATTTGTTTCACCAACTATCCTGTGAGATAGGCACTGTGGAAAAGGAAACTG